ATGGCAAAGTGCTAGGGCTGTATCCCAAAGCACAGTCAAGAGTTCTGGAACAGGGAGAGTGACACTATTGTACTGATGTATGAGAGTAAAGACCACTAACCATAAATGCACTTCAGAGTCAAGTTGAGCCCTTCGTAATTTAAAACACAGTGCCAAAATTTAAAAACAAAATTTAAAAAAAAAAATCAGAAGAAATCCTACTGGAGATGGATTGAGGCAATCTGTGGAAAAGCAGAAGCATTCTTCTTGAAGGTGGCTAAGAAGAACAAGTGGGTAAAAGATCCAGAGGGGGATTTAAGTAGAGATGTATAAGGACCAGAGAGTGTTCTGCCTTACACCACCATCACCTGCAAAGTCAAAATCAAACATGAAAGAATACTAACAGTCTTATGCTAAAGCCAATCAAGCAAAGCTACAGTTTTAGAGTTATGAAACAGAGAAGTTCTGTGTGAAGACAGGCATAAAACTCTGATCTCCACATTATCCGCTCATATGAAAGTTTAAGGGCAAAAAATACAAGTAATTTTAAGAAAGAGTTTATAATTCTGTGAACAGGATTGTTGATGATGGTGGTCTACAAAACCCTATCTGCTGATATCACAATCTGTCTATGCAAGAGTTATTTTCATTAGTATATTAATTTCAAGCATTCGAAGTTCAAGGCAAGCACTGAATTTCCATAACTTGTGAGATTTAAACAACTCAAATACTTTTCTCAGTTTTGCCTCAGATGTTCATGAAGATCCTATACGTGTGAGATGCGTATTTATTCACTTTTGAGGATGTGGCTGTAAACTCCATGTCAGGAAAAGCTGGGAAATGAGTTTATGAAATCCTTTTCATGCTGAAGGGCTACATTTCCAAGTATGAAGCTTGCCTTTCAAAAAAATCCTTCATTAAAATCAGTGCACTGCTCCATCACAGATGAGGGAAGGTGACAAACATCCCTCTACAAAAGATAGCATTTTAGCCTTCAACACATGACCTACAAGAACAATAAAATGTATTCTGCAGAACCTACAATGCTCTCTCGGACAAAGGCACCATCTTCAACCAAAAAAAAAGACCTGGCATAAAATATTACCATTCAATAAAAAATCATTATTTGGTCCCTTAAGTAGCCCCTGAAGTAGAGGGCTGTGGTGAAAATTTATCAGGCATTTTCCTCCAAATGGAATATACGCTTCAGTACCCTAAGAGGTCTATGCTACATGAAATTTTAACGGAATTGTTAATGTCTTTCTAGGTTTTATAATACCACAAAGAGCTACTCATCATGTGCTTTCACCACAGCAGATAAATGCTAATGCCTGTAGTACACAACACTTCCATAGTGGTTTTGAATATAAGCCATCTTCTACTCTCTTGGTGGGCAAATTAATGGGATCAATAAATTCTGTAGTAACTCCAGATAACACTCTTTACCTTCACAAACATGATCAGTAAATTCATGATGTACAGAAGGGACCACAAACAACTTATTATGTGGATTCCCTGAAAGGTTAGTCTGCTGTGAGAAATGTGAAATGTCACAGGCCTGGGAATTTTCCTATGTGAACCCACGACTCGATGTGGGAAAGGTTTGTGGAAGATCCTAAAGGTCAGATGTGAGGGTCTCCCTTATCAGCAAGGTCATATGTTAAGTTACACTGAAACTAAGAGAAGCATACTACCTGGAACCACAAGCACCACTCTGATTACAGTAAATATATTTTTAAAGGGCAAGACATTTTAAAAGTGAGGTTTTAAAGTGTATTTATCAGAATAAAGAAATATGTACACTAAAGAAGTTGTTCTCAGGTAATTCCCATAAATATTTCCAGTGTCATGAAAGTTAAAGCTACTTCAAAAAAACCTTCTAGTTGTAACTATTTAACTATAGTTCCCTCTGATTGGAAACAATAATGATTTTACTAGGGATTTTAAAAACCCACATAACCCTTCCGCCTATTTTAAACTGCTAAACTATGTATTTACTTTTGTTACAGCAAGAAAATGTTGGTAATTTTATCTTGTGACATTTTGCTTTGTTTAAAAAGAAATTATGATTCAGAGCTTACTAATCTTTTAGGAGAGCTATGTGACAAAAATACGATTATCTCTTTTTACAAGGGGAACGTGCAGGCATTAAAATACATCCTTGTATTTGAGCTAAACAAACCTTGAGCAGACATACAAGGACTTGGACAAGCTTGAGAACAGAAAAGGAAATTCCACTAGAATTACTTCAGACTTGTCAGGTTTTTGGTTTTGTTTTCATTTTAGGGGAAGTTTTAGACCACGTACAGTCTCCCTTCACCCTACTCCTACCTAGGTTATCTGACAATTTTTAGTTCCTTCATCTGCAAGCCAGCTAAGTCTACTGCTTCAAATTCCTTTCTGTCAGCCGTAGCGCACTATGATGTGCCTCCTGGAAGCACACACTCTGACTGTTTGTCCATATGAGTTACTTAAACGTGCTGAAGTTAACGGCAGCTGAGACTGTTCACTTACGGGACAGCACCCTGAAGCAATATTACAAACACAGCTTGAGCTGAGTTTGTGCAAGGTGTGATCTTGTGCTGGCGGTGCTCAGTGTAGCATTTGCGGGCTCCTGGGAGGAGGTCTATGCAGCGATGGTGCCTCACCACCAACGCCAGCACCTTGGGAGACGGTAGGAAGGAGTCTTCCACTACACGAGACCATTCTGACCAGTGCTGCTACTTTCCTGGAAGGTAGATCAACACTGTTCTGATTAATTCAAATTAAGCTGAGTTTATTCAGAGTGCTCTTCCCAAGTCCAACAACACTGAACACTCATTTAAAGAAGCAAAAAAACCCCAAACTGTCATTGGAGCAATGCTGCTGTTCCCCTTTTGCATGTATACAGGGACACCGATAAGATTAGAGGTGGCAGAAAGAAAAGCACTTCCACAGCACACAACACAGACCTCAGCATTGCTGGGCAGCTGTGGACAGGGAATGAGTTGCTTTGTTTGATGCCTTTTTGTCTCTTTTTGAAGCTAGACCCTTCCCAGAGACTCCAACAGGTGCAGTTTAGAAGATAAACTCGAAGGAATGAAATAGTTGCTATCTGATTTCCACATTCGTACAGAGAGCTCCTTACTCCCTCTTCATGGACACATGAATGAAGGTCACCATCCTGCTTTTCTGTGAATATATCACACAGCTAAATATAATGAATGTAACACCTTTTTAAAAAAGGCGAGGTTAGACAAATGGCCACGGAAATAAGCATATATTCGACCTAAGGCCAGGTTTCAGCATTATTATGTAAAACAAGAAGTGTCTTCTACTTTGGATACACCTAAAGGTAATCAGCTCAAGAATCTGCAAATCAAAGGATTTCTCAAGGTGAACAAAACCGTGTGGTCCTCAGAAGCTTCAAGTTCTAGCCTACAGTTTGGTGCAATTCCAGAGGTCAGATTCTGCTTCTCCAATTCTGCCTGAGATGCACCCAGGTATTCTACAGTTCATTTCTTGAAAATCAACCCAATTGCCCAGAGAACTAGACACTCTCCCCATTAACTCAGGAAAACATTTCTTCTTGCAAGAAATGCCTATCAACAGAAGCTAATTTACTGATTTATTTTGTAAACAAGTGTTTTAACAAAAATGTGAGCCCGATATTGGAAATGTTTAGTCATATATAGATTAGTTTCCTGAGGCTTCCATCACAACAAAAGGCTCTTTCTATTAATGGCTACTTTATCATTTAAAACATGTATGTTTAGTTACTTAAAATGGCAAATTGCTTTGCACTGTCCTTGAAGCGCATTGCATAAATATTGTATTAAAGCCTTAGCTTACACTTCATTAATAATTTATTTCAAAAATACTCTTCCATGAGACCACCAGCTGCCGCGATGTTCAATTTTCTGGTAAAAACATGTATTTATTGCAAGTCTTATTTTAACTTGCTGAAGATTTGCTAAAAGCCACATGTGATAGATGTTTTAAGAATTGTATTCTAACTAAAACCTCAGGAAGCTAAAAGCTTAATACTCCTAGTACGTTTTATACCTTTGCATAAGCAGTTTCAGTTGCAGGGGGAAAAGCTGAAATCTATTCAAGGAAGCTTTCAAGTACAATTATCTGATAACCTGAAAATGACTTACAGTATATTTTGTGATGATCAGAAAAATTTATAGATTTCATTACATTTCATTTCACTAAAGTCCTCCCTACACCACCTCCATTTCATGTTGCTGCATTTAAACTGCTGTACAAACTTGTTCAAAGTGCTAGACATAAAAAAAAAAAAATCAAAGGAAATTTCAGATAATTAACTTTGATGAATGAGCATATTTTAATTCATGTCTGGCAATATTCTTGTTAATAACATGTCTGCTTAGGACATCCATTAAAAGTCCATTAACTTAACAGGGAAAGTCTAATAAAGTTATTCTGGAAATTTTCTGGTATATTAACATTATGGACTTTTAATGAATATCTGCTGTAGGAATTGCTATTAGCAAGGCTACTGTTCTAATTAAACTTAGGCTCTAAGAGAGTGAAAAAAGCAGTATGAAGATAATAACAAGCAGAAGCACTTTTTTTGAAAATTACTATAAGGGAGATTGGTACTGGTCACAAAACATGCTATCAATAACAGCTATAAATTATTACATTGTGGCTTTAGTTCATAGTCTGCCACCCAGTACACCCATATCAGGTACGTCCCTCATGTAATCAATTGCTGAGGCTCCCATTCACTTCTCTGTGTTGAGACTGAGCAGTACTGAAAGGCTGGCTAGGCCTTTCAGAAGGGTAGAAGATACAAAACTTAAACACAGTCTTTCGTGACAATGCCAAATAAAAAGAGTACTTAGGAACACTGTTACCTATGGGCATCCAGCCTTGTTATCATCTCGTCTGAAGCTTCATCAAATCCTGCTACATTTTTGCTGACATTCACAATACCACAGCAAAAGATCTATTTATATGCATGTACCTTTTGTATATGTCTATGTATAAAGCAAAACAACCCACTGATATACCTATTTTTTCATACTTATCCTTCACCAAATCTTCCAAACCAATCATTTTCCAGAAACTGTCATCCCAGCCTCCATCTGAAGTGTACGTCCACTTGCACACTACTGTACAGAGGGACCTAGAAAAGAGACAATATGGACACAGAATCAGGAAAACGAACACGTTTTGTTTTAAACTTGTGACGAGAAAGAAGTTTGTGCAAAATTATGTCTTCATTCACTGGTCAAAAATTCCAAGCATAATGCTACCATTAAAAAAAAAATGGTTTTGAGTGCAAGTCTTGAGATACCTTAAAAGGACCTTATTTTAAGATTCTTCTCTGCTGAAACAACTCCTGCTCTGGCCACTTCATTGCATAAACCAGCCAAATAACAGGCTGTGCATATGCCTAGAAGACAGCACAGCATGAACAGAGCAGCTCTTTAAGCAAGCAGCTCAGAGAGATTCCTGCCTTTCCAGGCTGTACCTAAACAGCAATGTTTTGCACACAGCACGTCCTTAGAAAAACTTTCTATTAGTTACGTTCAAGCTGAATTACAATTTACAGGAGATTATGTATGCACCGATAATTAGGTTAAATGGCGCTGCTTCAACACCCAGAGGTAAAAAATGCCTTTGTCAAGTGAATGTGTACAAACAAAATCGCATCCAGCTACCAAAGCTTCTGCATAGCATGTGCTCCAGTACCATTATCACTAGGTCCATGTTTCAGCAGCAGCCAATGACAATTTGGGGACATGCTGAAACAGCATTAGCCATGATGCAACTGAGTGCAATACTAAGTTCTTGTGTCAAGTGTCGTTCCTGATAAGCTGATGCTGAACCTCACTGTGACAGGACAGCATCACAGGGTGGACTACAGGAGCACAATATAAAGAGAAGACAAGAGCACTTGCAGCAACGTCTATCACAGCAAATAGAATGTTCTTCTCCTCAAATGATCCCTATCTCTCTGTCCCTCTAATTCTCCCCAGAATGCAAATAATGTTCCTGATGATGTAGTGTTCAACAGACTGTTGTCTTCCTGTCTGAAAACTAAGATCCATCTCAGAAGATTAGTATTTAATTGTGCTTGAAAAGTCAATAAATTAAAAGGTAATAGAAATGCTAAATACCACTGGAATTTTCAGCTATCTGTAGTCTTGGGAATACTACTGTGCCACTGAGTGCAGGCCATCTCGGATGCATCTCGGGGAAACACATTATCATGACTGTTCTCAAAGACAAACCCCTCTCAGAGATGGATTTTCTCCCATGTCTTACAACACGGCTTATTTGTGACTCCTTTTTAGGCAAGGTGTGCTTTCACAGACATATTCTATTTATTAGGATATTACAATTTGAACATATATCTTCAGAGCAAACGGAATTTTACTGCAGCATTGGACTTATTCTTGAAGTTTTGCCTAAGTAAAATCCAAACAAAATTCCTCTCTATAAAAAAATACTTTTGAGTTAAATTAAACCCTCCCTTTCATCCAAGTGAACTACCTCTAAAGACCTAATTAAGGAGAATCAAACTAAAAGTCTTATTATTGTTATTATATAATGTTACTTACAATAATGTCTGGGAAAACCAGCCCTGGATGATGACCCCACCGTCTACAACAAGGTGGAATTACTGAACAAAGAAGGAAGACTGCTGCCTTCAGGAAACTGGTAAATGTAAGTTTCCAGTGACATGCCTGACAGTCAGATACAGGAGGTATCCCAAAGTGTGGCATGCATCTCAGCACCTACAACCCGTAGAGCTCCTTATTTTACAGTTGTAGCAAAAAGCATGCAGACAATAATAAAGGATCTGGTCTTTTTGAAAAAGAGGTCACTCAGGGAATGGATTCTGCTACTTTCAAGCTTGACAAACATCCTTGTCATAGTTTCCCTTCCATTTATATAGAAATAATGCACAGACAATGCAACTGGGAGTGCCTGTCCTCCATTAAAACAGAGTAACAGGAACTAGCAAAGAAATCAGCAAATGGAACAGAAAAATAGAAGCTATTTTTATTGACTATCTACAAATCAAAGCTAAGGCTTCTAGACACTGATACTGTGCACACAATAAAGCCAAATAAGTACAGGAAGAGCCTTTCCACACAGCTGGAAAACTACCTGGAACTCAGATTCACCATGTTTTGGGGGTTTACAACGAGACCCAAGGATGTACAAGCGAGGGCAGGATCCGCACGGGGTGGGACAGCTAAAGGCAATGCTCTCGGTGTACAACCTCTTATGTGACACTGAGCAGATCGGATGATTGTATCGACTCCCTGTACGCCCATTTTCTCATCCAGGACAGAAATGTGTATTTTAAATGCATCACATTTCATTTCATTCTGTTCTTTTGGAGTGACCATGTTTTTACAACCAAAGGACTGGTGATGTTCGTTCACAATGCATTTTTTGCTCTTTGCAACAAGAGAATTTCTTAACATTACACATTTTGGGGAAAAAAAGAAATAACTATTTAGATCCTTATAAATACTGTGGAGATTATTTCAAGGTTACCCTTCAAACAGTTTTGACATCCCACCCCCTCTTTTTTCTTAAACAGTTTAAGAATAAATCAGGCAATTACAATTCAGTGTCTGGTTTGAAAACTAAAAAGCACATGACCTGTAACTACAGCAATTACAATGTTGATATAAGAAATTCCAGTTTCCAAGGATTTAAAAGCCAGACAGAGAAATCTAATTAGGACCTTTGACAAAAACTGGGTGAATGAATAAATTCTAGGCTGAAGAAAATACCAGGAAAAAATAAACATTTCCCCCAAACCAGCTCAAACCTCTCATTAAAAGGAAAAATAAAGACAGGACATTGGAAATGAAGATCATTTCACCACTTTAGGAAAAAAATAGACATAAAGAGTGAAACAATAATGCATCAAGTTTTCCCAAATATGGTAAATACCAAATCATAACAAATTATCATCAGAACTGAACATGTATTTTTCTAATTAGATCAATGCTATGAATTATTGCCACACCCTGAAAAATGCTCTAAGGATGAGAGCTAAATGCCGTGACTCCTCACTTGCAAAGATCAAAAAGCAACTCCCTCTGAGTCTCCATGCTTATCCAAATCCAAAGAGAATCCAGAGCAGCCTTCTGGACTCCAAAGAGCATGTTTCAAACAGGGGCCAATTCCTCCACAGAGCTCACTCTGAGCAACACCACATTACATATACCAACTCACTGAAACTGTGGGAACAGGGACAGACCGGTCCTTGCCAAGCCACCGGATTCCAGCATATCGGAGCTCTCTTACTGGAATGGCTGCACTGAGCGTACTCTTGTAAGAAATGGCAATGGGGCTGTGAGCATTTTCATCCCACTTGTCTGGATTTATAAATACAAAGTGCTTACAGAATAAGGATAAACAGATGATTTCTGGCTTAATTTTTAATACAATATAGAAAACAAGAACTCTGAAGGACGCTTCTTCCCAAATAAATTGTCAGACCTGTAATAAGGGGAAGGTTCTGATATGAAGACCAACGTCAAATCTGAGCTGAAACACTAACCCATTATACTGATAGATTTTTATTTTCATGGCCATAAGAACCTCAAAATGCTTGTTGTAAACGCAGTCCAAGCATTGACACTTCTCTGGGACATAAGCTCCTTACTCCGCCCCTGCTGCCACTCAATTGCCACATAGAAGCACATGTTTAATTGAACAATATAGCTTCATACAAATCCTTAATGTCTAAGAGAATGTATTATACTGCTGTAAGGCATTCCGGTCTCTTAGATAATAGTTCAAGAAAAAAGGATTTTTCTGAGATGCCCATAACAACATATTAACTTCACTACATGCTTCAAAAGAACCTGGATGTGTTGAACTCAAATCCCTGCCACTTTAAAGGAGTGCTCTAATAATTACACGCAGCTGCTCCAGCCTAGAGAGCTGGAGGCACATGTAGAGAGAGCAGTTTGTTCATGGTTTTTCACCTTTGAATACCAATGGCACAGATATATATTAGCTTCATGGGAAATCGCTCAGAAATTCTCCTCCAGATTATCACCCTGAGAAAGTGATAGCACGACTCGTAACTTGGAAAAACTGTATCCAGAAAGACACTATGGCAAAGAGGAAGCTGAGGAACCAAATCACTACACCTACAAAGAAAGCCTCAACTATTAGAAAATTTAGTATTTCACAGCAACTCCTAAATTTTATGAGATAAAGGACAGACACTAAACAGAAATAGTACTGATATTCAATGTGGTATATTCCTTTTTGCCGAACTATTTGGCAGTATTGCCTCAGTTATTCGGCCATAAACACCAGACTCGCACTAGCCGAAGCTAGATGAACCAGATGGACAAGAGGCAAATGTTCCCCTTACTTCACTACCAGTATCAACTGGGTTCAAAGGTGCTGAGTTAATAGGCAATCATCTAGGCATCAGCCCTCTCCCAACTGCCTAAGCAGGACTTGAGAAGCCATGGCGAGGAACCCTTCAGTAGCAGAGCCCATATTTAGCTAGGCTGAAATACCATGAATTTGAAGACTCTTTTCCTCAAGCATTTTCCCAATACAATGAAATGAAAGATTTCCTTTCTCTGTTCAGAACAAAAAGGTTTGCTTAGAATACTCCCACCAAAAAAAAAAACCAACCCTTTTGCATGGAAAACTTTTATTTTATTTAAACCAGATTTTCAACAGGATTATGTTTATAGTTTCTTACAAATTCTAGTCTACAAAGAACTATAGGATCCCACTTGCATCCAACAGCCTCAAGAAAAAAAATATCCCAGCCACATTCATTACAAAGTAGATTTGGCTGGGCACAGCATATTACACAATCCCTTCTGTTACTGTCTAGCTCTGAGTTTTTGCACATCTCTTGCTGAGGACTGACTGCAGATGTGCTGAAGTCCTGTATGACCAGAATCTCAGAATTCTGAAAAACTCACCATCAGTACGTCCTTATAAGAAAACCATGAGATTCAAGGAGTCTGTAGTGATTTAACACACACTGATAATTCCCAAAATGTTGCCTGGAAGAAACTATTTACCCACACTAACCTTCAAAATGATCCAGTGCAACTAGACTCATGGCAAAAGCAACTCAGGTGCTCAAAGTCAGTTGATAGGTGGCTCTTCCTG